ATCAGGTTAAAAGGGATACTCCTAAATCAGGTTAAAAGGGATACTCCTAAATCAGGTTAAAAGGGATACTCCTAAATCAGGTTAAAAGGGATACTACTTTCATCAGTACAGAATAATTTTAAAAAGATCTGGCGATGAGCTCTTTTGCCCATGAACGTCCTTGACCTCGGAATGGCTAATTGAATTTCTTACCGTTTTGACTTTGCTGAGAACTAGTCAAGTGTACGTAATTCGTATTTATTCGATGCTTATCTCCTATTCTTTCAAATTTATTATTTTACAGTCTCAGCTGTTTAATTTCTTCTTTCTCTCCTGCCTCCCCATCCTCTTAATGGCTAAATATACAGTCCCCTTAGTTCCCGCACTAAGTATTTTGTATACGTTTTTGTAATTATATGCTATATCAGCACTGCCACTGAGCTGCCTACACCAGTCGTTTAATTCAACTTTTCTTCTTGAATAATCAAGGCGTAGTGTTACGGTAGTTCAATTAACCGCCACTCAACCCGGAATCTGATCTCAATCTCCCTACTGACTCATGGGCTCAGCATCACAAGTGAATAGAGTTAGTCGGGTCTCTCTCTATCGATCTCTCTCTTAAATGATTGGAGGGGATTTCTTCGGATTCTCCGGTTTTCCTAACTTGCTCTACAAAACCCAACAAGCTAAATTCTAATTCCTCGAGCAATGAGTTAGCCTTTGATCAATCCATGCCAGAGATTATTTCAGGATATATCGATAAAATTTGGAGGCTCCATAGAAGGTAAACCGTAGCTTTCAACATCTATTTTTAGTGGTATAAACTTTAAAAGCATTCTATAAATAAAGCTAAATAAATCGTATCCGTTGTTTCGCAGTAGCAGGTAAACTGTAGTTACGTTCTTCGCCCACGTCATGATCAACTCACTATTTTCCCTGGGGGAATCATTATTTTAAAATGACAATAGAAAAGACATTTCAATAAAATTATTGATCTCACCGAGCGGGGTTTAATTTCCGCTCAGACGCGTTTTTTCCCCAATAGCTGAAAAATTAACTCTCTAACAACATCATCGGGAGAAACAGGTGGTATATAGATATCAGCATGAGCTTCCCTAGACTTATAAAGAGGGGAAATTAGATAAACTAAAACAAACTTAAAAAAATAGAAGTTAAGAGCTAAATCAAGGAGGAAACTGGTGTGCAGAAAAGAAAGGAAGGATGCAAGATGGGTGAGATGTGTGTGTGTGTGTGTGTGTGTGTGTGT